AATGTAAGATCTCAAAATTGCATTTTACATGTTGTTTAACTACAAACATCAGGTAAAAATTTAGGGGTTTTCATCTTTTTTGACAAATGTTACAGTGCTATGGAAGAGTAAGCAGGACTCAGTTATGCTTTGTGCAACACCAACAAAATTGTCAACTAAGGAAACAAAGGGTAACTGGACGGTTTTCACAGTGGAGAGGGCGGACCTCACTATTTACCTAACGATCTATACTGGGACCCGTGCTGTTCAACATATTCATAAATGATCTGGAAAAAGGGGCAAACAGTGAGGTGGCAATATTTGCATACGATACAAAATTGCTCAAGATAGTTAAGTCCAAAGCAGACTGCAAAGAGTTACAAAGGGATCTCACCAAATTGGGTGACTGGGCAACAAAATGGCAGATGAAATTCAATGTTAATAAATGCAAAGTAATTCACATTGGAAAACATAATCCCAACCATACATACAAAACAATTGGGTCTAAATTAGCTGTTAACACTCAAGAAAGAGATCCGGGAATCACTGTGGATAGTTCTCTGAAAATATCTGCTCAGTGTGCAGCAGCATTCAAAAAGCTAATAGAATGTTAGGAACCATTAGGAAAAGGACAGATAATAAGATAGTGGCATTATGATTTTTTTCTATATAAATCCATGGTACGTCCACACCTTGAATAATGCATGCAGTTCTGGTCTCCCCATCTCAATTATTATTTGTATTTAAGCACTGGCTAGATGCCTTACCTGAGATTGGAGCCTAATTATACTAGGTTCTATACAAACAGTGAGAGACAGTCCATGCCTCTGTGTTGCTATCTGCCCTCACTTTTGTCATTGTTTTGTTATGAATGATCCCGTGAATTCCTTGGGCAAGAACACTGCCATTGTTTACAGCTGTGATGCACTATGTGCACATGACATTATGTAAATAGACAATAGTTCTATGATTCCATTATAGTTATGATAAAATAACTAAGATGATGCAAAATAAACATTTTGGATTTTAGATACTAGGATAAGTATGCATTGTTGGCAATTTTAAGAAAATCATCTTTTGATTTTTTTCATTAAATAAAGCAGATGTAGTTATTGGCAGGGGAAAAATACTGATCTCCACAATGAGTTTTTGACAATTCCCCTTAAGTATATCCATTCTTTAAATAATGAGCTCTCATATAGCTCTTTATACCTGCAAAGTATTTTCCAATGATTAATTACTCTCCATAACATCCCACTACAGCGCCTCTGAGTGTCAGAGGTATTAGTATGCCCCAAACAGAAATGGAACATAGAGAGGTCACGTGAGTCAGCCACAGCCACAGAAAGAGTTAGTGTCAAGACTCAGGATTAGAGCCTAGGGTTTCCTGGCTCCAAAAGCCAGTGGTCAGTTTATAAAAGCATACCAACTTGCTCAGCGGATTCTTCAGTGCATTAAATGTGTAATGTTTACCATGTCCACTACCCATAAAACAATAGCGAACTGGAAAATGAACAAGGGTTGGGGAGACAGAATCCAGCCCTTTAACTCATCGGCAAGGCATCATGTTCGTTAATTCAGATCCTGGGTTCGTATAGAAAAATAACCACCTTTGTCCTGTATGTGGGTGTATGTGGCTACTGGATCTATATGATCATCAACCATTTCCCCAATCCTCTTCATGACAGCCTATGTAGAACTGGTCGCAGATACTACAGAATCTCCCTGTGTGCCCATTATGCAGAATTGCAAAGGTTCTGCTGTACTGGGAACTTCCTGCAGTCCTATAACAAGGACAGCTAAAACAGCTGTGGGAATAAGCTATGGGAAATTAGCATGATAAAGTTTCTCTACACAAAACAAACATTTATTAAAAGCTCAACCAATCAAAACAGAACTTGTATGTGAGGGCTGTGTTAAGGGTCTCAAGAACCCAAAATAAACACATTTCATATACGTAAATAACCAACAGTGTGAAAATACGAAAACAGTATGTTAGGCATTCAGATATGATAGTGATGGGGGACTCATTAGACAGAGATAGCTACTGCACTGATTGATGAACTTACAAGTACACGACTTTTAAAGTATATTTTATAAATATTCAACTTTTCACACTTAGTCTACTTGCAGTAAAAGTTTTAAATTCAAGGCCTCTGGTTTCGCTGACTTCTTACATTGATTATTACATTAAGGTGACTGAAAAATGCTCACAAATTTTTACATCATTTATTTATTGCAGATGTACAGAAATAAACAAGACAACAAGGTTCAATTCCACCCATCAAATCTAAGTAATTATCTCTTAGATAAAGTACTAGTTGGGAGAATAGGCAGAAAATTTGTATTTTACTGTGCTACTCAACAAAAAGGCTCTGGTGCTTAGAGAAAACAGAAGAATATGGCATAAATTATATATTATAAAGGGTACTTTTTAGGTGGCATTTCATTTTATCTAGCCCATTTGCTAGTGGTTAATAATTAAGGCCCAGCTTCCGATTCCAATGTATTCACCTGCAATTTTGTTAGTGATTTCAATGGGAGCATGACTCTGTGTTGAGAACATAAAATATAAAACTTTTAAATTAATGGAAGTTTAGGTAAAAAAAGGTTTTAACATTTCTAATATTTTTAGATGTTCTGACTTTAAACATAAATAATTCACATGACATATGTGCCAATACACATAAGTGTATATAATTTTATTGATTCAATTATATAGGGCCTCAGCCCACCAACCTTACCCACTTGCAGCCAGTAAAGAGTGATAGCCAGTAAACTGTTCAGCTAATGCCAAACTTCCAAATATTACCTCGTTCACGTAGAGCCTGATCCAGCTCCCACTGTGACCAAAAATGGGGTAAATGCACATATGTTAAATCAAATATTTCTGGGGGAGATTATTTGAGCTGGTGAGAATGAACATGTAGGTTAAATATCAATGTCACCAATCTCAAGCATTCAAAAATCTGAGTAAGGCTCCCCAAAATCTTTAGATATGCTTGAAATCGTAAGTTTTTAAAAAACCAATACATTTGATTCACGTCTGCAAGCTTTTCTCTACAACCATGAGAGCTACAAACTTCCTTTTTTAAAATGTAAGAAGAGATTTTTTTCACCTAACCACATGCCTCCAGGAGCTCAGGCTTTAAGAAAAACATCAGTTATTGTGAGATTCCCAAGAAAATCTTGAGAGTTGGTAACATTGCATTATTCGTCTTTCTGTGGTGCACTGTGAAAGGAGTAGTACCTGGGCCAAGTGTAGGTAAATCCATGATATGGTTTCATAATGTTTCATGATGGAAATGCAGATTTCTATATATCACTGCAGTAGCTTAAAAGGATTCCCAAACGGATTCCTTTTGTGAGATTGACAAAAGAGCTCTGTGATGATTGGTGTATTTCTTGGGTTTAGTAAAGAGCAATTGTGTTTTGGAATCCCGTGTGAAGTAAGTCTGTGTGTGATATGTGTTACACCTACCACCACATGCCTCCTGAAAAGGTAAACTGTGGGCCCAGAACATCCATACAGATGGAGTTCTGGGAGAAGGTGAGTTTCAGCTAAAAGGAAGCCTGAGGAGTCAGCACTGATCCCAGGGGCTAGGCAGTGGGCCACGTAGTCACAGCTCCCATAAAGGGATACTCTGCACCTCAAGAGTGTGTCTGGAAGTCCCAAAGCCAGGGCAGTGCCTGGACTTTGTACAGGCCCCAGTGGCTTAAAACACCCAGGGATTCAGCGGCTGGATCCCCTCACAGCAGTTTGTGTCCTGCAGCGGGAGTGTTCATCCGGATCTGTCACAGGATTCTATAAACAAATCATCTCTTTTATGCCTTGAGGTTTGTTTGCATTCCTGTTAACATGACCATGAGTCTCCATTAAACAGTTTCTTGGCAGAGAGATTATCTCTACAGTAGAATCTCACTGCATAATATTTAATTTCCGTGAATCTTGGGAGGGAAGCAAGGTATGCTTTAAAAAACAAAGAATTCTTCAGTTCATGAGAGATTCAATACTAAAGACGTAGTGTACAGGGCCAGATTTTCAGCCAGTGTACCATATATTTTGTTTTCAAAATCCACTTCTGCACTTAAAGCCTGCATTTGTGCACAAAAGTAGTCATTTATGTTCAGATTGGGAAGTTATCCTGGTGGCACAATTACCTAATTTACATATGCATAAAACATTTGCATGTGCATAAATCAAATGCCTGGAAAATCTATCACAAGTTAGGTCTGGCATTTTTTGGTGTCTCCTTGCTGTAAAAGATAGATTTCAAGATACCAATTTTTGAGTGTGTCTATCTAGGCACTTATACAGTCTTCATCACTGTGGCATCTGAGTGCCTAAAAGAAGAAAGAGGCTGGGAGAAAAAAAAAAAAAAGAGCTAAGACATCTTGTTTGACAAAAATCTGCTCTTAGAGGGTACTCATGAAGAACAGTGGCATTACGTTGGAAAAAATGTGAAAATAGCAATGTACAATTTTACTGAGTTCCTTCATTGTAATATTTCCTCCTTATTGGAGAAGCATAATTCTGTTGGCCAAAAATGTGGAAAATAAATAGACCATGTCAGAAATGCAAAGTATTGGAATCCCCTTGAAAAGATTACAAAAGACTTGCTGGGATATGATGGAAATGATTGGAAGGGCTGTATTGCTTTTGCTGGAGACATAAGCAACTGAGTTGGAGTTGGGTCAGAATGGTTAGATATATTGAATATATTATTGTTTGCAGCTGTTCTCTGTCTCTTTGGACTCCTTTGGTCCCCACTCATACAAAGATATGGAGGAAAAACAATTAGCCTGATCGTACCAGAGTGCTGATCTTTGGGCCATGAACGTGTCCCAGCACCATTTCACTAATTTTCTGTCTGTCACAGGCTTACAGTACCAGTCATTATGATCTGTACTATAGTTACAACTGTAGCTTCTCTTTGGAAGGAATAACCACTCTACCACCTTGCTCTTTAACAAAAGATAGCGTTTACCATAACACAGTACAGTTTCAACAACCTTCTTACCTGAAGTGCTAGAGGCTTCCACCTCACATTCTTCAGAAGTGCAGGAGCAGAAACCAGGGTGTTTTGAGGACGTTTCTTCAAGGTTAAGATCACTCCATTTGGGTCTTCCCGCAATGCATTTACAAGGTTCTTTAACTGCCAGCCAACCTGAGGAGACAGCCCATAATGGAACTTTGAAAGATTTCCACTTAACTTACTTAAACGTGAAGGAAGTCTTGTGTTAAACTGAAATGGTCTATTAAAATGGAACTGCATTACAGTCCATTCCTTGCAAATAGGATCATCATTTATAAATTATATTTGATTTCTCTTGGACAGAAATGATGCTGCTGATGCTGGTGTTTTTTTTCTGTTGCTAATTTTTTTTAATAGAGATGAAATGCTTATTTTATTCCTAAAGGTATAGAGTAACCAGAGGATTTTGAAAATACTAATGTAATGCTATAATTTTTCTTGTCTTCTAAATAAAATTGATAATTTTTAATTATCCTTGCCACTGAATTATCATTGCATTTCTCTGTAGGAAGAGAAATAATAGTCGTGGAATAATTACAAACTGCATCCTCAATGTTATAACTGCAGCTGTTTAATTTTTTGGGTTGGGGGCATAGGAAAGAGAATATCATTGGACAACAATAATGTGACTTCTTTGAGGGATTAATTAAAGATAAAATATAATTTGTTTGAATTACCAATAGTTCCACTGAGAGGAACTGAAGTTCCCAAATTATTATAAATGATAATTACAACACAAAGAACAGTATCACTAAATCTGAAGGGATTTCATTTGTGTCTCTTGTTGAAAACTGCTTAGAGATATTTTTCAGGATTCTTGGTTATTTTGCATACTTTTTTTTTTCTGCTTTTCCATTTGAACATTTAAGTTTAAAAAACAAGCTATGAATTTTCAGTTTGTATTTATGAATATACCTCTTATCATCCTATAAAGCTAAATGCTAAAGGGATTTAAAAATTATATATAATGTAAACAATGGTCTCAATGTGCAAAAAAAAAGTGTATTATAGAATTTTTGAAATATTTATGTACTGTTTACATAATTTTTAGTGGATTTTATGCAGTAAAAGAAGCATGAATTCGCACACACAAGTAAAGAACATTTTTTTGGTATTATCAGTATATCAATATCCACTGTTTGCCAGCAGGGACCTCTGCATGAAGTATCATAAAGGAGTGAAAGTAGGAGATTGGATGAAGCCAAATATAGGGCTGTGGTTTCAGATCCACATATACAGTATAAGCTATTGTTTTTCCTCCAATACATTACAAAATGTAACTAATATCTGATGTACTGAGCACCTTTGCCTGCATGGCATTAATTTATGTGATTGTCATTTATGTTTAAGGTTGCTACTGTACTGTAAATATCCCTTGAATATGATGAATTTCTATTTCCTAGTAGTTCTTAATGAATGTCAAACAGACTAGATCAGGAAAGAACACTGCCTAGAGGCTATCACACACAACTTTGAATCAGGTTCTATTCCCAGCTCTGACACCAACCTGGTTGTGTAAAGCTAATCAAAAGTCAGTTAACCTCTCTGGGCCATAGTTTCCCATCTGTAAAATAGTCATAACAATACTTACTTACCTCAGAGAGGTATTATGGAACATAATGCATGTATGTTTGAGATGCTTGGGTAACAGGTACTATAGCACTCCACATTTACCATAGTTCGTGTTATGCTATCATTTCTGTTAGATAGTGTAAGCGTTTTATAAGAAAATGAGATTCTGAGCATATTTTCTTCCCAGGAAAGGCTAAAAATCTCCAAATTCCATTGAGACTGTTAATCTTGTTCTCTTCGCTGTCAGTGTTATCATTCCCATGATAGCCACATGTTGTGTTCCCCATCAAAAACCAGTTCTGTAGAAACAATCACCTTAAAAATCCTAGGAGGACTCTTCAGGGGAAGAGCTGGAGGGGAATGTATCTGAACAACACAGCAGAAAAGAGCAGGGACCTTCTGAAGAACAAAGACCTAGACACTCAGACCATGGGATATTTAAGGCCCAAGAAAATACATAGGTTACAGAAAAGACTCTTGTTGTACCATTTGTACAGTATCCTTGAAATAAAAAGAGATCTTCAATAATTCTCTCAAGTTTCCTTAGCTAGCTTGAGTATTTACTCACCATTATTTACTCTGAAGGAAAATGTTTGGTATAGTCATCTATTCTACACTCAAAATTACCTTTTTTTGCACAACATTGTTCTCTAAACCTTGCCTCTCCTTATTTTACAAGGCAAGCAAAGCACATTCTAGCATGGATCATCACATCACCTCATACACCTGGAAACTATTGTATGTTGATCACATCAGCATGCAAATTTCAGCAAAGGGGGGGGGGGGGACTAAAAATAGTCTTTTGCCATGTTGACAGTGTCAACAGTGCTGAGTCTTTTAGCTGAGTCTTTTAAAATTACAATGCAGGCTGTTTGTTTTAATGATAATAAATTGGAGAATTTTCCATTTCTCTATTCTATGACTCACCTGCTAAATGTTCATTTAGCTTCACAGGACCTTGCTGTTTGCCTCTTAGTTCTTTATTCCTGATGCACAAATGAAGCTCTAAGCATTAAGGCAGTTCAGTATGACTACCTGCTCTCCTATCTCGCTAGAAAAAGCAGCAATTCTTTTTCCTTTAAACAATCTTTTAGTATTGTTGAATTTCTACATGCACATACGCACACACAAAATAAAGAACATCCAAATTGTGCCGAATGATAGTGGATTTCAGTTCGTCAATGTGTTGGCTTGCTGGTTTGCTTTCAGTTTGTAAAATCTGATAGGGAGCAGTGTATTGTGCAAGAAGCAGACATTTTGATCACAGCTGAACCTTGATTAGGGGCAGGACATCCGTAATCAGCAGGGCTATAAAAGCAGGCAGCTGGCCAGTTAGCAGCACAGGAGCCAGCAACCAGAGTTGAAAACAGGAGAGTTTGAGGAAAGATGGGTGTGGTGGTGTTTTTTTTGTCTTCTTGACAGGAGTTTAGGAGGGAAGGCTATGCCAGATACAGAGGTAGTGATCTGAAGAATGGAAGAAACAATGAAAAAGACTGGATGTGGAAGCCACGGGATGTACATTATTTTGGAGAGGGTACCTGAAAGGTGCTTCATTTGTATGAAGTGCTGCCTGATAGAGCTGATGAAATAGAAGAGAAGAGATTTGAATATGCAGCTAGAAACTATGATTGAGTTTCACAGGGGATTTGAGCGGATGATGAAGGGAAGGAGAGAGGAGGCTGAAGGGAAACCTCAAACTTGCAGATGCATGTGCTGTTCAGGAAAGACAGAAATAAAGGCAAAGGTTGTGGAGTACCATTGTATATTAATGACTGTAAAGAAATTAGACAAATTATCAAAGGCAAGATATATTCGTTCTATGTCCCAGTACAGGTACCTTCAAGGGCAACTGGTTTAAAATGTAGTGTCTGAAACTGAGGTAAGAGAAAGTACAGAACAAGTTAAGGAACTGGTAAAACTGGGGTTGGGTTGGATCTTAAGGTGACATATAACGGTCTTTCTAACTTGAAAGAAACCAAGAAGGTTGGTGGTGATTGCAGGGGCTGCTCTATGTTTTTTGCCACCCCAAGCACGGCAGTCAGGCGGCTTTCGGCGTCGGTCCGCTGGTCACGCAGATTCAGCAGCGTTTCTGCGGGTGATCTACCCGCCGCCGAAACCGCAGGACCGGAGGACCTCCCACAGGCATGCTGCTGAAGGCTGCCTGACTGCCGCCCTCATGGCAACCGGCACCCCGCACCCCGCGGCTTGCCGTCCCAGGCACGCGCTTGCTGCGCTGGTGCCTGGAGCTGCCCCTGGGCGATTGGATGTCTAACATAGTGAAAGCCAGTGAAAATGAGGTAGGATCAGAGTCTAAAATAGGGAAAGAACAAGTCAAAAATTACTTAGACAAGTTAGATGTCTTCAAATCACCAGGGTCTGATTAAATGCATCCTAGAATACTCAAGGAGCTGACTGAGGAGATATCTGAGCCATTAGCAATTATCTTTGAAAAGTCATGGAAGACAGGGGATATTCCAGAAGACTGGAAAAGAGCAAATATAGTGCCCATCTATAAAAAGGGAAATAAGGACAACCCGGGGAATTACAGACCAGTCAGCTTAACTTCTGTACCCAGAAAGATAATGGAGCAAATAATTAAGCAATCAGTTTGCAAACACCTAGAAGATAATAAGGTGATAAATAACAGTCAGCATGGATTTGTCAAGAACAAATCATGTCAAACCAACCTGATAGCTTTCTTTGACAGGGTAATAAGCCTTGTGGGGGGGAGGGGGGAGGAGCGGTATATGTGGTATATCTTGACTTTAGTAAGGCTTTTGATACTGTCTCGCATGACCTTCTCATAAACAAATTAGGGAAATACAACCTAGATGGAGCTAATATAAGGTGGGTGCATAACTGGTTGGAAAATCATTCCCAGAGAGCAGTTATCAGTGGTTCACAGTCATGCTGGAAAGGCATAACGAGTGGGGTCCCGCAGGGATTGGTTCTGGGTCCGGTTCTGTTCAATATCTTCATCAATTATTTAGATAATGGCATAGAGAGTACACTTATAAGGTTTGCAGATGATACCAAGCTGGGAGGGGTTGCAAGTGCTTTGGAGGATAGGATTAAAATTCAAAATGATCTGGAGAAATGGTCCGAAGTAAACAGGATGAAATTCAATAAGGACAAATGCAAAGTACTCCATTTAGGAAGGAACAATCAGTTGCACACATACAAAATGGGAGATGACTACCTAGGAAGGAGTACTGCGGAAAGGGATCTGGGGGTCATAGTGGATCACAAGCTAAATATGAATCAACAGTATAACGCTGTTGCAAAAAACCAAACATTCTGGAATGTATTAGCATGAGTATTGTAAGTAAGACACGAGAAGTAATTTTTCTGCTCTACTCCACGCTGATTAGGCCTCAACTGGAGTATTGTGTCCAGTTCTGGGCGCCACATTCCAGGAAAGATGTGGACAAATTGGAGAAAGTCCAGAGAAGAGCAACAAAAATGATTAAAGGTCTAGAAAACATGACCTATGAGGGAAGATTGAAAAAATTGGGTTTGTTTAGTCTGCAGAAGAGAAGACTGAGAGGGGACATGAGAAC